AATTGCTTTAGTTTATCCTTTGATTCATTTATATGCTGGATCGTTCGTGTACGTCTAGCTATATTGCCATAATCTTGCCAGTCTGTCAATTCACTACTTTAGACTGAAGTTTGGTTCGCGTCTTCTATTACTTCGTGCCATATTGGTGTATTACTTCAATATGGCAATGTGTGCGTGGACGAATCTGTAACCTAGAACAGTGAAAAGACAAAAACTTCATCACAGAATTAAAGGACTGGCCAGTCACCTGTAGGTCCCGCGACGAAACTCTGCTGGGAGCCCCAACATTCAGCATCGCGGGTCGGGGACCCCAGCCCCTACCCAACATTCAGCATACGGCCCATGGTCGGAGACTCGAAAGTTACAGTTACCACCAGGATAATTATCAGATGCAGAAACTAGGTCTCCCCTTGTCGACTTTCGTACTCCCAAAATGAAAAAATTGATGTGAAAACCCAGCCAGACACTCTAAAGACTCCACATCTGTAGTGGATAGAAAGCCACACGAGTAGTCTACTTGGGACTTTTTACAGGACCGAGCACCCAAGAATAAAGCAAAAATTCTCTAAAAAGCGATTTTTCGAGTTCGTTGCTTTCGAAGAATTGTTACAATGGAACCTTCCACCTAATAGCTCTAGATTTCTGTATTTCACACCCTGGATGCAAGCGCAAATAAATGCCCACAAAACTTTGATTCCCTGAAGAAAGCAGAGCAGAAGGCCTGGAAACATTTTGACACGCCTCAGTTGCGTGCCACCGCACGCGCCATCCCCCTTCATCTGAAGGCTCGTGTAAACGGGGCAGGTGGCAGATCTCAATTCTATTCTGGAATTACTTTGAGATAAGAGTTACAAACACTTCCCTGAAGTTTGTTTGTTCCATCAAGCTACTATGCGTTTTTAACGACACCAACCCTGTAGTAACCCAAATTAAGGTTGCTGAAGAAGACCACAACTTCAAGCTTCATTTAAGTTTTGCTCTCTTCATGATAGGGAGAAAAACGAACTTCTTAGGAGGGAGTCCGCATTCTTTCATAATCAAAAACCTCAATTTGGGTTACTAGTAAAGATGCCTTGCCAAGTTTCCCATTAATAAGAATCCACCCCCAATTACAGTGTCATGGACATTTGATGATGTAGATAATTTTTTGTGACAGTTGTCGTATGCGGAAAAGAATTCAGAATAAGTTTACAGCAGGTTTGCTTGAGAACACGATCAGAAAACGTATTAGGAAAACCGGTAAATTGTTGAACGCAATCTGTGATGCTATGATGGGCACAATTAGGCAATGTACGCTACATTTCAGAAGAAGGGAGAATCTGTGAAAGTGATTCAATCGACAGCCAGCGCTAGAACGCAACCTTTGAGCAAATGTTGCGTCGAACACAAATGAATACTTTCGGCTATCCTACTCATCTTCTGTGGAGGAAGGGGGGTGATAAGCTACAGTGAATGGGAATCTGATGATCACACAAAGCTTAAGGTCCGATAAAGGATAAGCATGGTGCCCGAAAAGTGTACGCTCAGATTCGAACCTCGCTTACGGCCGGTCATGTTCTCCTCAACACATTAGCTTATAGAGTGTGTTCGTATGGCGAACGACATAAACAGCCACTAACAAAACGAAAAGAAATGGGAATACAAATTCTTGAGGCTTTCTATTGAGTGACAAGTAATCCCTCCTCTCGGAACGCTCCCACGTTAAATTTCCTTTTGTTGATGGTCGGCTTAGCCCAATTACCTTTCAAAATGAGTGAAATCCTATGTTTTGATGAATTTGGGTCCTAATCCGGGAACACTCTAATATGGAACCATACGCTTCCTGTTATGAAACCGTGCTCATGGCATATCAATGGACAACGACTCAGACAACCCAACATACACGCAATGATCCAAAATGACGTTCATGTTTAGTTTAAGAAGCACAGACTATGAGGCATTGTTCACACTTTGCGCCATGGGCGAAGGACGCGCGAAACTATCGAGTCTGCGGATCTACCAAAGGCTTCGTATGCGTATCGATTCGCAAAACGGGAGGGGCCGATTTGCAAGTTGGGAGGGGCGTCGAATCGCGCATTCGAATTTGCAATCCTTTCAAAAGAAGTGTATGTCTATCGATCAGGTGAAGCCAATTGTTTCGCGCTTTCGATGCCTCGACGCGAAATGCTGAGAGGGCGGAGTTGACATGCATACAGACTGTTTCGCTTCCGCGTTCGCGCGTGTGCAGATTTTCGTGGTCGGTACGTGTATAATTTCTTTTGCAAATTCGAATATTCTGTTGATTTGAAAACTGTGAACAATGCCTAAAGGAGTATGAGACTACTAATGCGTCCAGCCCTTGGCGACAATAGAACCATATAATAGTCAGCGGTACAGATTCTGATCTTTGAATCCTTTTCAACCATAAGAGCACGGTATTTAGGAATTGAAATTTGTATAAGAATAGCACTAGAAGAAATAGAGAAAAAGTAAGAAAAACTTCAAATATTGATCTGTGAACCGGTGCCAGCAAAACCACCGAGTTGCAACGACGTGCAGAGGAATCTTCTATACAAAAAATTACCTGCGCTGGGGGTGGACCGTCACCCATGTATGTCATCACTGGTGGTTGTGATTCTGCATGATCTGCGGCTTCACCAAACATTGCTGCCAAGCGCTAAAAAAGTGGCATTCATCGAACTCTTACTGTGAATGACGACAAGAATGACAAGGTCGTGAAACTCCTTTAAGATACTGCACGGTTCACAATACCAGATTTCAAACAGCGCAATTTCAGCTGTAGAACTGTTCGCGGCCGACGACCCGCAGCGCAGTTGTAAGATTTGGGATTTTCGAACAACATGAATATCGAACGATATGCTTAGCTTTCGATGTGCTCATACTTCGCGACCGTCTTGCATTTCGAGGTGAAGTAGATACGGATCAATCGTGCGATTTTGTGACGATATGTTCAAGACGTATTTACTCCAAGTTCGAATTGGGTGTCCGCAACTTTTCGGCACACAGTTATAAAGCCCATCGTGTAGATCAGTAGCGAAGTTACTAAAAAGATCAAAAGCCTGAGTGGTGACCCCTGATAGGGCGAGAAATCGTTCCGCTCTCTAAGCTCTAGAAGCAAGACTTGTAGTCAGGTATATAATAAGTATTCATCAGGGCTTAAAAATGTTCCCGTATGGGTGGCATAAATAGGATTGTGGGTAAACTATTTTCGCAGCGTTCTATAGTCTCTAAAGTAAATTTTTGTGCTCCACAAAGTTGTTTGAACTTGTTTATTAGTGGCCCACACGTTTGACTGTTCGCTCGTCTACAGAGGCCGTCGGTTCCCACCACATTTGTTGAATGCCTTCGAATGACGGAAAAGACCGACTGCCACACAGAGCGCTAGCAGTTGAAATGTGTAAAACTAAAAGTAGTTTTTAACTGAACTTTTTTTTAGCGCTCTGTGTGGGCAGTGACCTTTTCGTTAAGTGGTGGAACGCCGACCGGATATGCAGAACGACGATTCAGCATAGTCGAAAGGATTTGTTGAGATCACCAATAGATAGAGAAGTTCCACACCAAGAGATCCAACACAAGTGCTACAGTGAGGCAAGAGAGTTTCATTGTTAATCATGACGTGCGCGAGGTTCAAGACAAGCGAGTTGGAAGATGATTCTTCTCTGCGAGCTGGGACATCCTAACGTATGGATAGAAACTACAAACTCTTGATATATGAGTTACCCATGTAGAATACGGAGCACGAGTTATGATAGTTTATGAGACGGAGATAAATATGGATTAATAAACAATGAAACTGATAAATGGCGACATGATATTGGTTTTGTTAGTCCTGACCAACTGGACAACACTCTGAACAAAACACAAAACTACTTACAGCGCGAGTGTGCGGTAACTGTTCAATAACTGCGGCATACTGCTCGGCTGGTAGGGTCTGTTGGAAGATTTGTAGCAACTGCTGTGATGGACACAAAGTGCAATAGCGTTTGCAATATGCACTGCGCCTTCTTCGACGTTGCCTTAAAAAGAACTTAATACAGCTCTCTTCATAGCGTCACATATGGATTCCCAACTATTGAAGGAGTCTTAATGTAGATACTCGTACAAGCTGTACTGGAATCTTATACCGCTTGAATATACTAATTTGGTTGAAATGGAAACAGAACAGATGCTCTAATGAACAGTAGGACCAAACCAAGGTGATTTGCTTCGCTTGAAATCTCCTCACTGTCCACTGAACAGAAATTTCTCAGTTAAAAAGTAGCAAGCGTCTTCAGTTAACACAACTATTCATTTTAAAGAAAAAACCCCAGGTCGAATTTGTGGGGATAAAACGGTTGATAAGGGAGTAGAGAAGCCGAATTGACTAAAGATGAAAAAGAAGCAAAAAAAACAGTCGATGAAACCATAAGTTGTCCGTCAGACTCGGCGACTGTGCTGAGAGATGTGCGATCGCGATCGCCCAGCTTGGCACAACCGCCGGTCTGACGGACATCCAAACATTTATTTCCCCCATGAATAGGGAGCGGCGGGCAGATAAAGTGTACGGCGTACGCGTAACTACCGTTGCGTGCCATGAGGGTGTGCGCTAGGATAACATCTCATCGGCTAATTTGTGCCCAAACGCTGATTTGTAAACCCTCAAGTGCCACTGTATTAGGACATTATTCGGGGCCGCGACATTCCGTGGTTGCGCATGGACTTTGCTTAACGTAGAGAGTAGAGATCCTATATATAAATCGGAGCAATCTGTCCTGTGGATACTCGTGCATATCGCATATCACCTTTCCATATCAATGTTCTTGAGAACACCGATTTTTCTGGTGTTGATTAAATTCTCAGTTCCAATAATGCGAGATTCAAGCGTCCGCGGCTCGCGGCGTCGCGGCCCAGATAGAATTCTTTACTCGGAGTTGACTGGTACGCGGCACGCGCACCTGTGCGGACGCTTAGATAAATCTTCCAAGCGTGATTCGTCAGGTCTCGATACAGTCGGCCTTCCTATCGTTCAGATCAGCCCATCCATTCGTCGATCTCCTTCCCTGAAACGCGAAAGTCAATCTGTGCATTCTATTTCAGGTGATAAAAAAAAACTAGATTCGGTTCCTTCCAAAGAGGGGAAATGAAGTGACGTAACAATATTTGAGAAATGTAGGGGTAGCATTCGGGTACCCACTTAAATTTGAAAGCTTTCATTGAAGCTGGAAGCTTTCTGCAAAATTATTGAAGCAACCCTTACTGATCCACTCATAAGCGAATAACAAGAACAAAACAAAGTATCTTTGCAGCACGACTCACCACTAGCCATGAACTCTTCGCCGAGTTGCACCTCTTGCAAGAAGTAAGCCTGCATTGCTGTTGGATCTGAAGGATCGGGCACTTGTGTTGCACCTCCACCACCTCGGCCAACTGCAGCGGCTCCACCTCGAGCCTTTGCCTTTTCACGTCGATCTGAAGAAGCATGGTTGAGGAATTATTTGCAGAAACTGATCGCTGTAGACAATTTGAAGTGAACATCTAGGTGAAAGAAACCGGACGAGCTTAATGGCATGTGATACTCCTTACAAAAACAACCGCTCAAAAAATATTTCAGGTCTAAGGTAACATCAGCGATGTTCTAAAGCATTTGAGATGGGAGAAATTGAAGGCTCCGCACGTGCCCACGTCATACAGTGAAAACGAATCAATTCTCGAAGGGAAAGAGTCAAGTCACTACAGTTATAGAGGTCTATGACTCTAAAGGAAGGCAAAACACTACCAAAACAGCCAATCAATCAGGGTATATATAGCTCATTAACAAGGTGCATTCACACCGGAAGGGGTCCAGAAGAGTTTGCAGCGTTATCGAGGCTCTGATGGTAAAATGAGTCGATGAGGGTACAAGTCTCGAAGGAAGAAGGAAATATCCTTCTCTCTGCTTTGTTTCCGAAATTTTGGTACGGCTGCGGTATTCAGTGGCAATTTCATAAACCCCCTAAGCCTAAAAAGGTTGGGTGAAGAGCTTCAAACCTTATACCCACAGTACAGGAGCCTGCATTACAAACTCACTTAGAATTTTCGCTTCGATGAACACTTTTCACATCGGATCGATGTTCCTATCCGGTATTAAGTACTGATTCGCAAATAAATATCGACTACGTCATTGATTTCCCGTGTTACGCTTTAACACTCCGCAATATAGTGCCCGCTATGGGTGTGCGTATACATCTAAGTAAACAAAGATTTCCCACAGAACGTTTCTTTAGGTCTGAAAGGAGCCTACAAAATATCAAACTCAGACACCCATAGAAATCAGAGGCACAACCCCGCATTACATCGGTGAAGTCATAACGTGAGCAAGTTAGAGGAGTCCACAAGAATTGGGGTCATGCTGACCTCACACGACGAAACTTTCAAACAAAGGTGCGGCGTTGAATTTCATACGGGCACTTAGCACTCCGGCTTCCACCAATGAATTGAAGTGGGACTCTTGAGTGATATATTTGGGCTTCTTTAGGGTTTCTATTCTTATTTCCTCACTGTCGGTCCATGCCGCAACTCTACTTTTATTAGTGACTGGAATAACCATGCCAGCTTGATCGTTTGATGTGCCTATGAAAACTGGCATTTTTTTTCTATTATAAATCGATTCTTATGCTCATTCAATCTCCACGGGACACATCACCAAAGGCGACCACTACGAACTAGTCATCAAATGACGTATGTGCTCTTCGGTGATAAGGAAAGCGCCATGATCCAACATAAGAAAACGTATTATTATCAACCATGCATAGATTTTTGACAAAAAAATCCCTTAAGCAGACGAAACGAACATAAAAGTAAGATATCCAAAGTAAACTCATGTAAAAACCTACTTCTTCGGATTTTTTCTTTGTAGTCCGGGGCAGATCGACGTGAATAGTCAAAATAAATACAATATCCTATGAAAGCAGCACCAGCCAAACCAGCAGCCATCACTACATGTGACTTGTTGAACCCAAAAATTTTGTCGCTCATCACTAAAACAATTATAACATTCAATGGCAATCAAATGGGAACTGTAGCAAAACAGATATGCTACATCAAGAGGAATATTTAAGCAAGTGGTAGCTGCGCAAACAGTTCAGAATCGATATTCTACATAGGACTTCATTTTTCTCATCGGCCGATGTCAGACTTTGCGATTGGAGCGATTTTGCACCAATTGCAGGAGCGACGGGAGATTTACCCGAGCGGCGCCGTGTGTATCGGTGGTCGGCGGTGTAAATCTCCCGTCGCTCCTGCAATTGGTGCAAAATCGCTCCAATCGCAAAGTCTGACATCGGCCATCGGTGGAACGCCAAATATGAGTTTCACCGCGAAACTTGATAGTAACCCTTGACTATCCACCCCCAAATTGTTATGGAAACAATGAAGTGTAGTAAACCTAAAGATATACGAGTAAATCCGCTAGAATACCAGTTCCGATTACTTTCTTGAATTGTTTTGTTTCACATTTATCTGCTGAGAGAAATAAAGGCGACCGAAGCGAATAGACTATGCGACGGGAAAGCGTTTCCTTCTAGCAATAATACTTATCCGGTTACCTTCAGATTTTAGTACAGATTTCCTTCAAGTAATATGGGCTGGATTGGAGAATTTGTTCTGGACCGATTCCAACCCTTTTCAAACCTTCGAAAAAACTCTTCCTTTTTGTCACAATGTAGGTTTTCCTTTTTCGTCTACCCTCCCCTATACTTACTGCCAATTGGAGCGATACGTTCCCCCCCCCCCCAAGTGACGTACTATTCTTCTACCTACATATACTCGCCACACACATCTTGACGTACACAAGAAGCAGCTCCATGTTTTTATTCCCCAAGTCTTCCACAAAATTGATTGATATCAAATCAGTTTCACTGCACTTGGACTTTACAGCGTAGGCATGTGTACGTAAAAAAGGCACAAACGCAACAGAGCACGACGACAGTATTCTATCCAGTAATCATTTTTGAGATCGCTCTTCCAATACCAAAAGGTTAGGGAATACCTGTCCACAAAAATACTGCAACGCCATAGATCTTGAAATCTAACACAATTTATGGATGAATTGGGTTGGTTCGAAATGAGCAGTGAGTCACAGTCACAAATGGCGAAACAATTGAAATCGAAAGACCTGAGAGCGATACCAATGAATATGGCAATAGGAACAAAACTTGTCGTGGAACAGATCTGTCAAAAAACTGACGCATGGGAATTATACAACAGCTATATCCTTATTTTGTTTCTAATGACGATCTTTCAGTCAAAATAATCACGGACACTGCCATTATGTTTTTCTTTAATCATTCATTTCTAGCCATATTTAAATTACTGAATGAAGACATGAAAAAACATGCAAGAAAACAAAGAAACGACGAAACAATCCTCATTCAAATATTTATAGTTTCGTGCGACGACCCTTCAAACTACGAAGTTTGAAGTGGATAAAATGAAAGCGAACATATTGGCATGTGCAATGTCGTTGGCTCAAATTGTGAGTGTTACCTGGTTTAACCGTGCGTTGGGCAGAACCAGAATTTTTACGATCCCCTCCCTTTCGGAGGGTATCGGTAATGTCCCAGCACATTAGCTCGTGTCCTTTTACATATTTTCATGCCCATCATCGATGTATGGGCCGTCACCGGCATGGAGGTGGTGTTAAGTCTGCGCGCTTTGTCTCGCTCAAAGGACGGGAATCGAGGCAACATGAAGTTTTACTCATTAAATAGAAGTAATTTCCAAATTTTGA